ATTACAAAAAGAATGATAGTAAGTTGTCAGAAAGCAAAAAATAATAGTATTTAACTTCTGCAAATATGTGTAATAAATATTATGTAATTATTTTATAACTGTTTTATCTTAAACAACAAATAAATATACGTATATCTAGAAAAAATTGTGCATCTTATATCCTTATTTTCCAATAAATTTTAATTAGTAACGAAATAGCCCACAAGAGGCGCTAAAGGGTATGTATGTAAGGGGTGTTCATTCGAATTTGCCGCCAAAAGATGATTAGTATTGACCCCAGCCGCAAGGGGCCTAATGAACGAAATTTATACATTGAGTTGCCTATCTATTTCTACTATTATATTATTTATCTATGGTCCAAACACCAAACACGTGGAAAATACAACCCAACCAACCTATAAACACAACTGCCCAACTTAAAACTCAATATTCTTCTTTCTTTTTTACTTAGCCTTCTACCACATATACTAGCGATCCAGTTGAAATAAGTGCCAGGCGCCATCTCGTTATTTGGAATCTTACTATATATATGGAACAATTTTTTTACATTGAGTTCGCAGGGTATGGGTAGTATCAAACAGCAGCGCGAAGGCCGCGAAGTATACTAGACACGTGTTTACTACGGTGCCGATGTTCGGTTATAAATTTTAGGGTAAGTTATAAAATCACTATAAAGTTACGTAAATAATATATACCAAATATTATTTCTTTGTAAAGCAATAGAAAATTAATACTCTTTTAGAAACTGGTACTGTTTTCCGCTATGTTGCTCTTTATTATTGTTCTTTTATGTTATATAGAAAAGTAGACAGTGCCCTAATAAGGCCAATTGATTGGCCTTATTAAGAGTCGACTGGTCTTATTAAGAGCTAGTTGACATTATAAACAATTTGTTTACATAATCGCTTAAACTATTTTTTCTTTGCAGATATGTGGAAAGGGCACAGTGGACCGAAGAGGCCATTGAATCTGCAATGAATGCCGTACGAATGCCTAGCTAGTGGTAATTCACAAAAACTATTTGGGCGGCCTCCAGTACTTACAAAACCTCAGGTAGATGAATTGGTTAGGCGTATAGGAAAATTGTGTGAAGTGGGTATGCCATTAACACCCAAAATATTACGAAAAAAACGTGTATGCTTTTGTTAAAGAGACAGAAATAAGGCATCCATTCTCGGTTAAAAAGGAAATAACTGTAAAAAACTAGATGAAATCATTTTTTTCTAGGCATCCCGACATTGCAAAGCGTCGGGCTCAAAAACATGAACTCAAATTTACAACATGAACGAAAAAGGATGCCAGCTTACACTGCATCACCAACAAACCGTATGGCTAGTAAAGGTGCTAAAAATGTGTATACCGCATATTGCACCAGAGCACGGCGAAAATATAACAATCGTGGCATGTGGCAACGGCATACGCAACAGCATTCCGCCACTTATCATTATCTTCTAGCAGAAACAAAAATTATAATGACCAAGAAAGGAAGCATGACAGCAGATGCATTTATACAGTGGTTAGATCACTTCTGTCGATTCAAAAATCCTGAACAGCCCTTTTAATATTTAACGGAGCTTCATCTTATTTAGACATTAGAATTGTAGAAGCTGCAATAAAAAAAGATGTAACTCTGTTTTGTCTACCGTCCAACACCACCCATGAGCTTCAACCACTCGATAAAGCAGAATACAGGAGTTTTGAATCTTACTGGGATGAGGAGGTGTTAAATTTTTGGTGAACCATAATAACGAACGTACCATTAACCGAGCAAGATTTGGGCAAATATTTACGCCCGTTTGGAAAAACGCAATGACGTAAAAAAATATTTGTTCTTGATTTGAAGTAACTGGAATATGGACATTCAATCCAAATGCTATTCCGGATGCTGCCTTTGCACCTAGTTGTCTGATACAACGAGAGATTGAAACAATCGCAGTAGATTTTCAAGGAAATCCTACAACCCAACCAGAAATTGAAACTGGTTTCCTGCTAAATTGTAAACAAATGTAGCCTTTTAGAGGAAAATATATGCATTCATGCTTGCTGGTGTAACATAATCCAACTTCTACAAAGCACAAATATATTTGAGGAGATGTACATATTTTTTACACATATTTTAACAACTGCAAAATAAAATCAATGTGTTATACAAATTTTATTCTAATCCTTTGAACACGAATTATATAAGGAATATATTATGTAATGATAAAATATTAAAAATAACAATAAAGAATGTCAGCAATTTCCAGTTTTAGCTACTAATGTCCCAACAATAACAGGTATCCAAATTTGGTCCAATGCAATATCCTCCAAAATGAAACAATGACTTACAATAATCGCTACAAAGTATTACGCTGCATCCGCTATCTGTAACAAGAAAAAAATAAGCATTTGGTTACAAATAATGGGTACAGCCCTCTTTGGTGGCATATAACTCGAAAATCAAACAAAAGCAAGATAAGTTGCAATCACACTGGTCTTCAAAAAAAATTCCTTCTTTTTGTTTTATGCATAATAACGTTCTTTGTGGAACTTTAAACGCGAACTTTATATGGGAATAATTATAGCACAGACATACTATTTTCATATATTTAATCTCCATTTAATTAAAAAACGATATTATAAAACTAACAACTATAAAAAAATAGTTTTGAAGTACTATGTTCAAGTTTTACAGTAAAAAATACTATTTTTCAGGTACAGATTCAACTAAAGTTTTACTAAATCTATCTTATTATGATGATAAAATCCAATTTATTTTGTAGTTTTCTTTCTTTTCGTTGCTTGAAGTTTCTCGGTAAATCTACCATCAGACAACCGACAATCGATCAACAGCATTGCTGCTGGTAATTTCCATTGTAGCCTGTTCCAATGTGCCATATATGCTAATAAAAAAGATAAACAATGTTTTTCGTTACCACCTAGTCTTATTATTAATTACAAACAAAAAATATCTCTTTGACGAATAGTTATAAATAATTTAGTATCCCCAAGAATTAGAAAAAGGCAAGGAACATTATAATTATATCTACGTTAATATTTGGCAAGCAAGTGAATTTTACGCCTTGAGGATACCTGAATATGAAGTTACTAGGTTTTTGATCGTGATCACTTCAAATCTAAGAATTAAATTTATCAGAAATATAATCTACATATAAAATAAATTGTCCGTTATTTATACGTATATATTATCCTGTATTTTTATAAAATACTCAGTCAAACTAAACCTCCATAAATAAGAAGGTACACTGAACTGGAGTCATAAATCAACTTCTAAAGATTTCGTTATCACAGTTTAGTCAATAAAAATTATAGGTATTCACAAAACAGGTGTATTAATGGTATTACGCCCTCAATAAGGCACTTGACTTCGGTCCGTATAACAGGTAGTTGGGATGACAGCCACAAAGAATTGCGGTCTTCTTAACATAATCCCTTAGATTACCTTAGGCCGACGAAAAGAGGCAGTTAGACCAAGGTAGTACAATACGGTAAGAGAAGAGTAGTAGAAGAACGGTGTAGAATCTGAACGATGTAGCGTAGAATATGAACGGTAAAATCTGAATGGTGTAAGATCCGAACGGCAAACAGACTTCAATTGGAAGATGTCGCCGATTGTCGAAGATAAGACCGCTTGCCACAGGAACCAACTTGGAAATGAACATCGGATTGTGAACTTAGAAGGGCTTAGACAAGCGAAAGTTGAAAATAGAGAGGTAATATTGGCTGAAGGATGCCACGCGAAATTGACATTAAATTGCAGGGCTACTCGGGTCAATTTTCATAGCTTTTACCAATGGAAAGTAACTTTCTACAAAAAACAACTCTTCTGTTTTTCTGAGAAGGTAGCTCGGAGATTTCACAATAGAGACCTTTTTCCTTTTGTTATTAGGAGAGATTTTTATGTACCAAAACAAGATAAAAAGGCAGAAGAAAGGAACATTTGTCGCAGTTATTTCTTTGTAAAACAAAAGCGTAACGAATCGCTCGATAGTGTCGGTTATTTGAAGAAGATATGCAGGCATGAGCGGCGTGAAAATAATTTACTAAAGGGAATAATTTAAAGAAATTATGAACATGCTTCAGTACCAATAGGACTAAACCTGCGATTTTGTCAGTTAGGACCTTTCAGCTTAGCAGAGCTGTGTCTGCGGAAGCCTTGTGCACCATCACTGGATGTGTTCCGTTCCATTTTTTGGAGGTGGAAAGAAAAGCTCTATGAGAGGAGAGGACCAAACCTTACTGTGACCGAGAGAAGACAGAAAAGAGAAAGGTCCATTGAAAGATAGCAAGAAGAATGGAACAATACGGAGTTTGTGGCACAGTGGACGAAAATGCTGATCCCGAACATAAGAGATTCTAGACCCCCCAGAAGGCCAAAAAGCTTAGGAGGCAGTATTATACTACTGCATTAAAATTAAACTTAATTTTGGTAAATCCTTAGATTGTAGAATTCTATAATATAAGGATAAATTGTTAGTTTTCATCATCTTTCAAAAAATCACTAATGCTACGTTATGTTTAATTGGTAAAAAACAAGAATGAATTTTCTGCTATTAGAAATATTTTTTCTAATCAAATGTACATCTTCTACAATAAGAGTTTCAGTGACAAGTTCTGAAACTTTATAGTAATATCTACTAAAGGCATATTTAAACTAACTTGTCTAAGAAATATATGGGCGGAGCGAATTTATCTGTAACTTTTTCTGTAGGATCACAGGACTTCGGAATATAAAATTAAAACAACGGTTATATTATTCATTAGATTTATTAAAATACCCATTTTAGCATTTACAATTAAAAATCAGTCTCTATTTAATAAATTTTATCTAAGTCTTTTGAATATCAAGAATATTTGTATTACATATAAGTATGTATACTGTATAATTATAAAGTAAAAAAAATAGAAAACGTGATGCAAACATTTTACATGAAAATGAAAGAGACGTAATTTCGAAAGGTGATTTGTGACCGTTTACTATTAAGTTTGACTGTATATTAGTTTTTGTGGCCAACATCGTAACAATGACAGGTATCCAAAGTTGGTCCAACGCAATATCCTCCAAAATGTCCTACCGACTGGCAATAATCGCTGCAGGGTACTACGTTACATCCACTACCTGTAACAATAAATAAGTATATATCAATAAAAGACTATTACACACTACATTAAATCCAAAAGAACGAACGTTGAATGTCAGGAAAAACCTTAGAATGAGTAGAAAAAAAAACAGGAAACAAGACTCAAGTAATAGCGGGTATAAGCAGGAAAATAAAATGGATATGCGTCAAAGATAGATTAAAACAACCATATAAATAACGTGTGTCAAGAACTGAAGCAAAACGCAAATTGCCATGAAAGTCATGAAACATTCAGCCACAACTTCAAGCCATTCAAGACCATAATGGAGCAGTATGTAGAGCAGTAGAGAGCAAGCCAGAAACCTGAAAAAAGTTACTGTTCAGAATTATATAGATATACTCCAAAATATTCAATCTCAGACCACAAGAAACATGCAATCAAATAGGATATAACTAATTATTTTAGAACCAAAAGTAGAGAATGATCTCCACCAAGTAATAAACAAAAAAACACAGAGATAGACGGTATACCCGTGGAAACTCTAAGAGCAATGGGTGAGATTGACATAGACGTAATACTGGATATGTGTAGCACAGGTGAATTGCCTGATGAGTGGTGCGAACCAAATTACAGAACCTTTGCCCTTATTAATCATACTAGCCAAACCCTGCTACATATAATCAACATAAGACTAAAAAAGTTTTTACTTTCCGAGATAGCGGAAAAACCATGCGTATTCGTACCAGGAAAAGAAACGCGTGATGAGATATTGAACACGGGATAATATAAAAAGCAATGAAACACAATATACCAATCCAGTGTATAATGGAAAATATGGGATATAACAATTCAGGTGAAGGTAAAGTACACCGATTATATTCAAATTCATTCAAGCCAAAAAAAAGAAACTATAATCCGTTCACAAATTGTTGAGAATACGAAATGTGCATCAAAGTCATAAAACGGTCGTAAAATTTGTATCATCATAAGCGTTCCTGAGGTGCTTATTCATTAAAATTAATGCGTTTTACATTTATTTTCCTTTCCAAAATGTTTATCAATATTAATAATGTTTTAATACTAATATATTTAGCAAAAAACAATTAAAACTTTCACGGGTAATGTTGGTTATTATATTATATTAATAAAAATAAGAATTTAACTATTTTGTAAATAAGAATACCTTATCTCTTTTAATATTTCAATACTAATTTTCGCGTTTAATCACTTTACTAAAAAACCTGGAATTCATATCCGAAGGTACTATTCATTGCAAGATAATTAGAATGGAATTCCCCAGATTTTTAATAATATAATGGGTATAAAGATGCTGGTTTTGACCACGTGCCTCGTCTGTTCCGTTTATATTCGAAACTTAATTTGAAAGGGTGAAGTTATTACGAATGAAAACAATTTTTCGTTTAGTACGTTTTTGATCGCATGTAATTTACGGCTCGTCGGTGTTTTTGCGTCTACGGCAGTAATTAGCGTCTCGAATATTTCTTTTGCGAATTATATGCAGTGCGTGAGTGATTTTTTATTCCATATACCTACGAACATATACGTACCTTTCGCTCGTGCTCGTTTTGTTGGATTGTTTGTGATGGCTTCATCATCAACATCATCAAGTTTAAAGTTTCAAGAGAAAAGACTATTGTCCTGAATGTTCACGATGCTCTGGTTTCTCAGAATCCCACAAAGACTGTTCGCAACATAGTCGAAAGTTGTGCCAACATGACTGGCATAGGGGAGTCAACCATATATAGATTCCTATCAGAAAGTAAAAACACGGTATAGCTAACTAAACACAAACGAATACTTAAAGAGAGGGAAAAAGCCTATTGAAATTAATGAATTTGCCAAAAATGGTATTCGAAGAAAAATTCATGGTTTTTTTTTTCAAAAAAGAAATACAAACCTAATCAAAATTTTACAAGAAGTTCGGGACGACCCGGATTTGCCTGACATCGGACGAACTAAATTGTGGCAAGTTTTAAAAGAATTAAATTTCCGGTGGGAGAAATCAGAACGAAAATCACTTTTGATTGACCGGGAGGAGATAATATGTTGGAGAAGAAATTATCTAAGATCTTTTAAAAAAGCCGAAACGTCACAGTCCTTAGACTTCCACCCTACCACTGCGAAATAAATCCAATTGAACTCATTTGGGCACAAATGAAAAGTTATGTGGCTAGAGAAAATACGTCATATAAAATACAAGCCGTACGTGAATTGTTATACGAGTCTTTACAACATATTACAGAACAAAACTGGAAAGATGCAGTAAGACATCTAATAGAAGAAGAACAAAAAATGTGGGATCTTGATAACATAATTGATGCGACCGTAGAGACACAACCGCTAATTATTAACCCTCAAGACGACTCGGATTCTGAAGTTGATCCTATTTATTTTGAATTTGAATATTTTTCTAATCGTAATTGTATAAGGTAAGTAATAGTTGTTGTAATCGTAAGGTATTAAAGGGGAAAGGCGCAAAATGTCGTCTGTCAAAATGTTCAATGTGTTTTAAATGTATCCATTTTTTTTCAAATCCTAAGAAAATTAAAAGCATTTTTGAAAAATTTAAAGGCAGAATGAAATATTTATTAGAATAAATAAAAAGTTTCTTTTGCATGCAATATATTCAATTACATAACATATTAAAATAAACATTGTAGAAGGTTTCAGGGACTTTCTGCCGTCGGTACTAATGTAATCTTTCATTCTGCGTTTAAATTTTTCAAAAATATTTATTAGTTTTCTCCGGATTCGAAAATAATGGAAACATTTAAAACACATTGAAAATTTTGCCAGGCGACATTTGGCGCACTATGTATCCAAATTTTAGTTTAACTGTTGTTTGCAACAAAGAAGTTGTTATATTTTTATACGTTCTGTAGTTTTTCGAATATTACCAATTATAGATTTCGTAAACCGAATATCCGATAGGGGTGTAACACCTATAGCAGGTTTTATTCCAAGACTTTAAAGTGTCCCAAAGAAGATATTAAGTAAAAATATGACACATTTACTCAAAAATAATAGCTATAATTTAAAAATAAATTTGAATTGATGAAAATTTGAAACTTTATATGTCCCCTGTTGGTACTTACCACTTGATAAAACTTACAAATCGTTCACTCGAAAGAATATTGAACTTGGGATTAATTTTGTTGAATTGGGACACAAATAGATAAAACTGTAGAAATGTATGTCACTAAAGTGTCTCTAATATACTAAATGTTGATTTATAATGCTTAAAAGCCACGGAATATGTGAGTTGTGTGAACCAAACTAAAACTTGTATTATTTAAAAGAAAATAAAAATATAACAATATACGACTTGAATCTTATAGATATTTTGATAAATAATGTGAGCTGCATTATAGCGAGAAGTTAAACTTTTAATGGAACTTGCTGGTTTAACATGTTTTACAGATACTAAAATTAAATTAAATTGACATACAAATAATATATTAAAGTAAGACGTTACATGGTAAATGAACAATACAATAATACTTATTATAAAAGGAAGATAACTTGAAATTAATAACAGAACAAAAATATAGGTACTAATAGATAGGTAAAGTACTAATTAATCCACGTCCTAATGGGCAAAAAAATTGCTTCAGAGAGGTTGCAGGTGCAAACTCAGTACATGAATAACAAACAATAATGGAGAAAGGCTATGTAACTTAGCAGCAGCATTAAACATAAACGTAAATACCACGAGATACAAATACTAAGACAAAGACATACACAAAATAACATGGATGAGATCAGAAGTCTGAAGGGAAATCAAATAGACCATGTACTGATTAAAAAGACCTACAGACAATCGATAAATGACTATAGATCTCACAGAGGGGCCAACATTCATTCAGACCATATACTGGTGATTACAAAATATAAAATAAAAACAACGAGGAATGAAAGGCGAAAAGTGCGAAGAAAATTGGACGTAGATAAATTGAAAGAGAAAGAAGTAAGAAGAAGATTTGTACAAGAAGTAAATACAGAGATGCACTTTAAAGAACAACAAATAGAAGAACAGTGGAAAAAAATCAAACAAGGAATGCAGCAGAGAAAGTGGTTGACAAAATGCAAAATAAATGAAGAAATAATTGGTTTGATGATGCGTGCAAATTAGCAGTGAAAAAAAAAACAAGATTGAAATAGCTAAGCACAAGGAAAGAAGAGAAACGAGAAAAATACAGAGATCAAAGAATTATTTAAATAAAAAAAAATCAAAAAGTAGAACAAATTATGAACGAGGACTCAAATCCATTGTACCAATACTTAAAACTAGGTAACCGACAACGGACAGCTAATATAACTATAGAAGTAGAAAAGTGGCAGAAGTATTTCGAAGAAATATATCAAGAAACGGATAGAGAAAAAGAAAGAGACAATAACGAACACAGAACACGATGAAGAAGAAGAAGAATTCACCTATACAGAAGTGAAAGAGAAAATATACAAACTTAAAAACGGAAAACCAGCGAGAGAAGACGAAATATGTGCAAAACTTATAAAATACTGTGGGGAGGCACTATATGAATATGAGGTATTAGAGGCGATACAGCGAACAAAGAACAACAAGGTAACAAGTCCTGACAGACATAATACGGTTAATAGAAGAACAGCAAATTGGAATATTGGTCGACTTGCAGTACAAGAATCATTCCCAGAGATTGGCTGATGTCAACATTCATAACACTACCAAAAAAACCAAATGCAAAAGAATGCAAAAGAATGAAAGTTTAATGAGTCATGCGCTCAAAATATATACCGGAGAATACACAACAAACTTGAGCAGGACATGAGTGACACACAATTTGGATTTAGAAATGCACTGGGAACGAGGGAAGCCCTGTTTCTCTGTATAGTGTGTTTTTTGGATTACAACAAAGCCTTCGATAAGCTCAAACATAACCGTCTTATCGAATTACTTAAAAAGAAAAACTTAGATATGAGAGACATTAGGATCATTAGCGCTATCTATTATAATCAGAACGCTGTGGTAAAAGAGAACAACGTCTTTTCAAATTAAATACAGATTGAGAGGGGCGACAGGCAGGGCTGTGTCCTGTCTCCTACTTTGTTCAATTTGTATTCAGAGGAAATAATCTAGGAAGCACTAGAAGAACTAACTATGGGAATAAAAGTAAATGACCGACCAATCAATAATATCCGGTTTGCCGACGACACTATTTTATTAGCGGAATGTCTTGAGGATTTACAACAACTGGTTGACAGAGTGGTCAGAGAAGTCAGCGAAGTAAACGGACTATCCCTAAAAACAAAAATGACACAATTTATGGTAATTACAAAAGCCCAACAGCGTCAAGAAAATATAGCAATACATGGAGAACAAATTAAATAATTGAAAAATATAAATATCTGGGTACAATAATTAACGAAAATAATGAGTACCTACACAGAAGAGATTAAGGCAAGACTAGGACAGGCAAGAAATTATTTCAACAAACGGAAAAAAGTGCTCTGCAGCAGGGACATTTCAATTTCTTTAAAGATAAGACTTCTGAGATGCTACGTGTTCTCCGTATTATTTTGTGGGTTGGAGGCTTGGACATTAAAGAAATATGTTTTGGACAGATTATAAGCCTTCGAGTTATGGGCCTAGACAAGAATATTAAGAATAAGTTTGGTTGGATAGAGTCATGAATGTCGAAGAATGGGAAAAGATAAAGAGGTTTTAAATACAATTAAAGTCAGAAAACTGCAATATCTGGGAAATGTCATGAGGGGTGAGTGTTATAACCTGTTGCAATTAATAATGCAAGGAATGATACACGGTAGAATGTGTCGCGGAAGAAGACGTATCTCCTGTTTAAACATTTTGAGAGCTTGGTTTAACTGCACTTCTGCTGACCTCTTTAGAGCAGCGGTATCAAAAGTGCGAATTGCCATAATGTTTGCCAACCTGCTTAGAGAAGATGGCACATGAAGAAGAAGAAGGCACTATATAGACAAATTTATGAACTGATACAGAATATATGGAGCAAAAAAATAATGAAAGAAAAAATGAAAGAAGGTAGTGAATTATAGTGACAATCCCAAAACAAGTAGACCATAGAATATGCAAAAACTACCGAGCAATAAATTCACTGAGTAATATATAAAGTAATGACTGGTATAATTAGAGATAAACTAACAATATAATACATAATAAAGCATAGGGGCCTATCAGTACGGTTTTTGAAAAGAAAAATCCACGATAGACGCTATACATACGCTAAAACAAGTGATAGAGAAAACATACGAGTATGACGAAGAAACACACATACTTTTCCTAGACTTTAAACAGGCGTTTGACAAACTAAACAAAAGAAAAATGATCCTAGGTTTACAAGAGAGTAATATACCAAATAAAATTATAAGACTGATAGAACTGACATAAGCTAGGCACCGTGAGTATGAAATGTGATTAGAAAATAAATATGGAGAAAACCAAAGTGATGATTATCGAAAGAATCATAAACAACCAGGCAGAGATAAGAATCATGGCAGGTTATGAAGTGGTCAGGCAATTTAATTAATTAAGTTTCGTTATACTAACAGTGAAGGTTGCGAAGACAAGATTCGTCGACGCATCACAATGGCCAGATCAGTAACAGCCAAACTCACAAAAATTTGGAAGAATATTGACATCACAAAAAACACAAAATTACATCTTATTCGAGCACTGATATTAACTATCGCCACCTATGCTTCAGAAATTTGAACAATAAAAAAGCCGATTCATAGGGTATAATGACGAAGACCACACGGAAGAAAGGCGAAATGTCAATTTTTTATTATTTTTTGTTCAGAGCAGCAATATGTAGGTTTTTAGTAGTAGTTTTATGTAAGTCATTCAAACATGAGAAAAAGACGAATCCTGATAGCTTAAAACACGTTATAAAATTCTTCGTACAGGGAAGAAAGGCGAATGGTCCTCGCGTAAATCCGAGAAAGATGGAATGTCAGTGCTTGTCGGGACGTCGGGGAAATACACGCCGCATTTTGTTTACTAAAAACGTTTAGTTTTCGAGTAGCCTTCATTAAATAAAGTGCGTGTTATTGTGCTCGAAAATGACGGAAAGTGAAAGAGATGATACGTGTCGCGAAAAAAACACTAGAAAAAGGAAAATTACAGGTCGAATAAATGAAGTAATGAAGCGGTTAAGACAACAGAGCAATGAAACAGGTGACGGTTGTCAATGTAAGAGTTTTAAAACAGATCAACAAAACCGATTAAACATTATAAACAATTTTAACCGTATGGGGCGTAATGAACAAAATATTTACTTGGCAGGCCTAATAACGTTAATGCCCCTAAAGTAAAGAAGAGCCTGAGATGAAGCTACATCAAGATTGCATGATGCAACGTATTCTTTTAGAGTTAGAATAACGACTGACGATAAAACTACTGACGTCCCAGTTGGATTTAAAGCTTTTCTAAGCCTTCATGGCATTGGTCGGAAGAGGCTTGAAAATATTAAAAAAAAGTTTATAGACGGCATGACGGGAGACGTCAATTATACGCAAACCATTTACAAATTCCAATAAGGTCGGGGTTTATTTATTTTGCCACCAAAACTATATACAGGTGAGTTTGTTTTAAAAATTCCCTTCCTTTTATCTTTTTTCATAGAGATGTTTTTTAGAGCTAAGGAAAATTTCTAAGGAAAAATTTAACGATCTGGTCCACTTGAGTTAGTTTTGCACATCTGAAAGGGCTAGATCGTTCTATAGAGGCTTACCTTACAACAAAAACGACAAAAACGTAAACAAAATGAGGAGAAAATAATAAAAGCTAGACAAATGAAGAACAGAAAAAATATTTATATCATGTATTTCGCTTTTTTCCCGTGTTTGTAGTGACTTGTGTTTACATAAAGCAATGTTTCTAAGTTTTGTGTTTTATTTTAAATTCCGTTGATTAAATAATACGTTACAAAATAACTATGAAGACTACTTAAATAAAGAAGTACGCAAAATATTTAATTGTATTATGATGTTTACGGTTTGAAAGTTAAAAATTCAATTTTCTCAAATTGACCTCATTGTGACATTTCGCCTTTCTTCCGTGTGGTCTTCCATTTGAAATGTGAGTCTACCGTAGAATGTTACGCATACCATGGACCGCCCATCGCACAAATAACTCAATTCTAGCAGAACTTAACATAAAAAAATCACAACTATCAACCAAAATACACTGAGATATTTTGGACATAGAACTAGACGAAGAGAAGGCATGGAGCGAATGATAGTTGAACGTAACGTAGCAAGTAAAAGATCCAGAGGAAGATCTCCAATACGATGGTCGGATCAAATAAAGGAGATGAGTGGTTATTCATTCTACAAAACAAAACAACACGCTCAGGAAAAAGATAATTGGACAAAAATAGTCAAACAAATTACACAACGCCACTACATCCTTACGAGAGAAAAAATATTGAGTAGGAGGATCTATAATTAATCCACCGTAATGCTTGATTTAAAATCTAGTAGATTAAAAAAACCAGTATTTTAATAGACCCTATATAATATTGAATATATGAATATCTAAATATTAATAAATAAGGATAATAATCCCTAACTTGTAAATATAAAACCCTAGTAAAAAATATAGAGGCAGTCGAAAGTTTGTAATTTTTAAAACAAGATAAAAATAAAAAATAAAAATAAATTCAACTCTTACCTGCTAGTGCGACAGTGGCGACTACAAAGAAAACTAAAAATACCAACAAATACTTCATTTTCACAAAAAATAAGGACTCTTTATATTAGAGATTTAGGTTTGAAAATTCTGTTATTAATGTAATGGATGTAGCGTTCTTCTTATATATATATATATATATATATATATATATATATATATAATATATATATATATATATATATATATATATATATGTGCATTTCGAAGGTAAGCTGATTAAGACCCGTATGTACACAGGTAGATAAAAATCCCCGTGTCCGTGTTTTTAACCTTTTCTGCGAATATTTTAATATGTACCGTAACATCGTAAACCCACGTAAACATTTTCTCTTAAATGAGGTTTACAATATTATTATTACTGTACTCTTATCAGTTTTACACTAAATAAAGGATTAATTATTATGCATTGTTTATTTGTTTTTCGTAATTTGTGTTTTCATAGTTTCGAAAAGTGTTTAAAAATAGTACATTGTTTACCGGGTAGGAAAAGCTTAACATTCCTGGACGACTGACTGTGAAGATTGCTAAGTCGAGGTGCAAGCCGAGACTAATGTCCAGTTGCACCAACAAATAAACGATTGATTTTTTGATTTGGATTCCCCGTTTATTTTGGAATATGTTGCACCAACCATTACTTGATTGGAACCGACTGTTTTTGATCTGTCAAAAGTAACCAACCGATTTTCTACGGTTATTTAAAAAATCGACTGTTTTTAACCTCACTTTTACATTGTTTATATTATTAAAGTATATTTAGCAAAGATTTTTTATTTAAAGTATTATAGATTATAATTTAAAAAAATGGATTTATCATCATCGTCGTCATCGAGTTCATCTTCTGACAATTTGGAAGATATATTGCATATGTTACCAAATATAAGATATGTAAGAGATCGCAATGATTTGTATAATTAATATAATGAAGTTGAATTTAAAGCAAGGTACATATATTTCATCTAATTTAGATAACGACTTACGTCATTATCTACGTCAAAGATCGAAGTTGACATAGTTGCCAAAGTATAAAAAAATCCTGACTCCATTTTAAATCAAATAGATTACATAATTATTGCAAAAGTATTACCATTTCTTTACAACGACTATTTAATTTCTTACGTCACATTTTTTAAATAAAACACACTAATTTTGTTCTAAAAAGAACAGATTTTATTAAATAGTTTAAAAGTATAAAACAAGAGATATTCACTTTAAAATCCAAAATAATGAAGTACAAAAAGTGTCAACACCGCAACTGTCAAATAAGTGTTACCAATTTATGCCAAAATTTTAGCTTTGTTCGATTACAGTTACAGTGTGTTCCGAACAAATGTTCTTAATAAAAACGCTTTATAATGCATTTATACAAATTAAATGAAACATATTATTGTGTATTTCTTTAAGTTAACATTAATAGAAATTTTTAAATATTATTTCTACGCGTATATAATAAAATATGTCTAGTGGCTGTAATGCCAGTGTACTCGGCAAAGTGATTCTAAAAAAGAACACACCTAAACCCTAAATATTTTGTGTTGGTATCATGTAACGTCACAGGCTATGACGCCGATGACGTGCATCGTTATATAAATTAGATGAAGTAATATCATTATTTTTCTGAATGACTAGAAATGCATTTTAATTATTTTTAGATATCGAGTAAGCAAGAAAACAGTGTTAGTCATTTTAGAACGTTTTCATAAACATTTAAGTTATAGGACAGGATGGAATAATCCGGTGTAAAATAAGAAATAAAATGAATAGAGAAGTGGCTTCCTTTATTTTTCATCTTAAATACACACTACACACACAAAATTGCAAAAAAACAATGTTATTATAATTGTTCAATTGGATTGGCATAACCTTACAAAACTTTCTTTGTTGACAATCTTTTTGACAGATCTCACTCCGATTTGAATGAAATAATCGAAATAATCTGTACTCGTGCAATGCTGCCACGTATAAATTGTCGGTTTGTAAACCAATAGTTTTTTAGAATGGTGCAACGCGTTTGAAAAATAACCATTGATCGTTGATTTAAATCGTCCAATGACGATTAGCAAATCAGTTGATTTACAGACTGTTGGTGCAACTGGGCATTAGCAACACAGAGTCCAGGAATGTGGCTTTTCCTACGAGGTAAACATACTATTTTTCCGCAAATCGTTTAAAATTCGACAGATATTGATTGATTTAAAAAAAACGCGATAATTTTATTCCCAAATAAATGGTGCTTTGAAATTCCTAATAAAATTACTTGGGTTACTATGGACGCGTATTGAGGTTGAATTGTCAAACTTCTATCATTTATGTAGAACACAAACAACTGTACGGAAATATCATTTCCTTACAGTAAGGAAATGACATTTCCTTACAGTAAGGAAGTCCTGACTTTTTCTTCAAGAAATTTTGACAGGAATGTCAAAATTTCCTGGCGATTTGCGGAAATAGTACATTGTTTACCGGGTAGGAAAAGCTTAACATTCCTGGACGACTGTGAAGATTGCTAAGTCGAGGCGCAAGCCGAGACTTAGCAACACAGAGTACAGGAATGTGGCTTTTCCTACGATGTACACATACTATTTTTCCGCAAATCGTTTAAAATTCGACAGATATTGATTGATTTAAAAAAAACGCGTTAATTTTATTCCCAAATAAATGGTGCTTTGAAATTCCTAATAAAATTACTTGGGTTACTATGGAAACGTATTGAGGTTGAATTGTCAAACTTGACGCTTATAAATTTAATTGCTGGTGTTCTCGAAAGTAAAATGATAAGTGATGATGAAATTTCCATTCCTGGGACTCCTCCAGAGCTGGTTGAGGCAGTGAATACTGCTTCATTAGAATTATTGCCAAAGAAATCAAGAGAAAAGTACGAAAATGCATACATCCTTATAAGCAATGTGTTTTCTATCATTTATGTAGAACACTTACAACTGTACGGAAATATCATTTCCTTACAGTAAGAAAATGACATTTCCTTACAGTAAGGAAGTCCTGACTTTTTCTTCAAGAAATTTTGACAGGAATGTCAAAATTTCCTGGCGATTTGCGGAAAAAACAGTTACATACAAAAAATACTATAATGATTTTATTAGTCCTAATTTATTGTCTTTATTCTAATTTATTTTTTTTATTGGGTTAATGCCTCGACAACTATGATCATTGGCATAATTCTAATTTATTAAAACTCACGATAATTTATTATAATTTATTAAATAACTACAACTATTTATTACGTTCGTACATTTAAATACCGGGCCACGAATTTATCTTCTTACTGACTCCTCCAAATAAAATGTTTCATTTATATACATAAACTTCCGTTCTCTAGAAAGATCGATGACCTTCTTCATTATAACGGAACCCCATCGAATAGACTTGTAAATAGAATGTTGTCGAAAATACGAGGCCCTCGTAGACAGAGCGGCAATGATCTAAAATCTGGTATTGGTGCGGTTCCAGAAAACTCTTATTCGTCGCTTTTATAACGAAGGGGAACCCAACGTGTCTCAGGTAGATTTTGACCTACAAATTACGAGAATCAATAAAAAAAGAATGAGTCATAAAATCTTTACAGTTCTATACGCCATTACATTTAAAATCATAACAATACCTTACATACAAAATTTAACAGACCAAATTGTCCCACTTTTCAAAACATTTCCGAACATTAAATTAATTAAATACAATCCACTTCTAACGAGGTTGTTATATTGGTTATTTATACGGTGACTATATGTACTTATTTAAGTAGGACAGTACTTTTTTTTTAAATATTGTCCTAATGTACTTTAAACCCTTTCTAAGGACACGCGAATGTAGGGGAAGGACGGGGAAGATGACGCAGCGTCTAAGATGACGCACCTCTGTATTTTATCAAGTACTTCACTAAATTCAGTTTTTATACCCGTGGCGCCCTCCTTTAGACACTACTATTACTTTAAAACTTCATCGGTCAGCTTTCGTACTATTTAGTATCTGTGAGGCAGAGTAACGCGATACACGTTGATTTCTTGTTATTTTTGACACTGCGAATACTAATGGTAAGTTGTTTAAAAATGGTTCCATTGGATTTTCTTCATATTGATGGGAGAAGGTGATATTTATTTTCAGTTAGCGAGGATTTATCTGTTGATAAATCCTCGCTAACTGAATGGACCTCGCTAACCCTATGATGGATGATTTTGATAACCATTTTTTGTAGGTTATGCTGAACAGGCTAAGTTGACGCAGACTGCGTCATCTTTGCTGTTATAGTGCGTCATATTTGCCTTTTCAGTTCATTACCTTAAATAACAATGGAGTATAGAATATTTATTATTTAGTGTCTATTTTGCATTTTGAGGCATCTTTTTCTTTTCTAGAAATGGGAAAATATATACGAAAAACACAGAGAGGATCATTTTCTGCAGCAGCTCTTAATACAGCATTGAATGCAATTTGTAGAGATGGTCGTAAAATTCGGGAAGTGGCAAGGGTATTTTCAATACCAGAAGCTACATTGAGGAGAAAACTTAAGGTTAAAAATTTATTAAAGGAAGTCAAATCAGAGTCTCTTGGTAGAGCCCCATTGTTTTCGGCACATCATGAAAAGGAGATACTAGATCATGTTCTCAAGCTGGCCAATTTATTTTTTGGTATCACTTGCATAGAGCTGAGAACCATGGCATTTGCTTATGCAGAACGTAATGAAATTAAACACAATTTTAATAAGAATAAACAAATGGCTGGAAAAGACTGGTATCTAGGATTTATAAAACGAAATCCTCAAATTTCCTTGAGAAAGCCAGAAGATACAAGCATTAATAGAATAACAGCCTTCAATAAAATAGAAGTAGACCGCTTTTTTAAAAATTTGGAAACAGTGCAAGAAAAATATAAATTTCTGCCAGATCGCATTTACAATGTTGATGAAACCGGTATATCTACGGTTCCTAAAGAATCATGTAAAAGACTTGGACCCAAAGGAGTAAAACAGTTTGGAATCATTTCTTCGTGGGAACGAGGGAAGAATATCACGGTAATAATGGCGTT